ATCTCCTGTATTTATTTCTGGGTTTATTTTTATCTTTTCTGTTTTTTCTATAAGTTCTGTGTAGGTTTCACTTGTTTCTGAATAATTTTCTCCTAGTTCTGTGTCTTTATCACTTTGGTCATTTATAAAAAAAAACATTATGTAGCAGATACTGAGCGCGATATGTCCCCTCAGGGATGGTATTATGCACTTAGCGTGCTCGTGACCGAATTTTGGTATTTTATTGTAATGAGCAATTTAGCTCGATGTGCATCTCCTTATGTGAGTTCTACATGTGGATCGGGTGGCACGCTACCATGTGTATGTTATTTGGATCGGGTTGCACGCCGCCATGGTTGTGTTGTATGGATCGGGTGGCACGCCGCCATGGTTACGCTGTTTGGATCGGGTTGCGCACCGCAATAGTGTGATGTTTAGTACAGCTCCCCATATCTAATTTTATGTGTTTATTTCCTATTTTCTAAGGAAAGCTCATATTAGCTGTGTGCCCACGTCGCATGTACGATTCACGAGCGGGGTGTCTGTTTAGTATGTCGACCGCCTCGCATGTATGATCCGCGAGCGGGGCAACTGAATTTCCTTTCGGAGTTCATTTTCCTTTTGTACCGCACTCTAATTAGTAGCCTATTGGCACATTGTGGCATCATATGAGACTTTTGATCATGTCCGGGATGGCTTATTGCCTGAACAGTTCGTATTGGGTGAGACGAGATCATTGGATTTAGGGTCAGTGCAATCTGATTACATGGAATATATTAAGGAGCAAAGATCATTATTTGGTTCAGAATGAGGTGAGGGTTCTTGTCAGGAGTATATACCCGATGATTTGTTGATTCGGCAACTGGTTATGAATTTCTACGCCTATCTTCCATCGTGGCGGTATTGTAAGAGTTAGAGTAGGAGCTATGTATATCCTAAGGTGCGTTGTGAGCATCAGATTCGTGGAATTTCGACTACTATGCTCAGAGAATATTATTGTGGTCCTGTGAGTAAAATGGTACAAGGGGTGAATTCAGCTAAGGTATGCAGTCGTGTTTTGGTACTGCGTGTAGTCATTGTTATGGTGAGCGTATGTTGGAAGTAGGTTTGGCATAGAATTTCGGATGTTGGAATTGGGCGCTAAGGCTTACTTGCTTGAATGAAATATAATATCTCAGAATTTATCGAGTTAAGTGCTCAACTAAGTTGTGGTAGCACGGGAAGGTGCATGAGGTGCTAAATAGTGATTTCAGACTACTTCAGTGTAGTTCTCAGCACGTTCGAGGACGAACGTATGTTTAAGTGGGAGAGAATGTAACGACCCAACCGGCCGTTTTGAGCTCTAGCGCGTCGTTCAGTAGTCTGAGGCCATGAGCAGCTTCATTTCAGGTATTATGACTTGTACGCATGGTCGGAATTGAATTTCAGGAAGTTCAGAGTTGATTTGGAAAGAGAGTTCTCATTTCGGAAGCTTAAAGTTGAAGGAATTAACTAAGATTGGATTTTAGAGTAAACAACCTCGGAATTGGGATCTGAAGGTTCCACTAGGTTCGTATGATGATTTCGGACTTGGGCGTATGCCCGGATCGGGTTTTGGATGACCCGGAAGCGTTTTGGCGCTTATTGTGGAAGTTAGCATTTTGGAAGAAATTTCATAAGTTTGGTTTGAAGTGCATTTCAGTGTTATCGATGCCCGTTTGGGATTCCGAGTTTAGGAGTAGCTCCGTATGGTGATTCTAGAGTTGGGAGCGCGACCGGAAGTGAATTCGGAGGTCCGTAGGTCATTTGGCTAAAGATAGAAAATTGAAGGTTTTTGAGAAGTTTGACAGAAAGTGGACTTTTTGATATCGGGGTCGGAATCCGATTTCGGAAGTTGGAGTAGGTCCGTAATGTCAAATGTGACTTGTGTACAAAATTTGGGGTCAATCAGACGTGATTTGATAGGTTTAAACATTGAAAGTAGAAGTTTGAAATTCTAAGGTTCATAAAGCTTGGATTGGAGATTGATTCGTGATTTTAGCGTTGTTTGATGTAATTTGAGACCTCGAGCAAGTCCTTAATGTGTTTTGGGACTGGTTGGTATGATTGGTTGGGGTCCCAGGGGCCTCGGATGGATTCCGGGTGGTTAACGGATCGAAATTTGGAATTTTGGATAGCTGAAGGGGTCTGGTTCCTGGTATAACTGCTTCAGCGGAGGGTTCACCACAGAAGCGGCCCCACAGAAGCGGTCCCACAGAAGCGAGGAATTGAACCGCAGAAGAGGTTAGGCGTGAAGAGGGCTGGGACCGCAGGTGCGGTCGTTTGGCGGCAGATGCAGGACTGCGCCTGCGGTGGAGAAGGCGCAGAAGCGGAGAACGGGCATCCTGGGAAGGACCGCATATGCGGTAGTGGGGCTGCACCTGCGGAACCGCAGAAGCGGTCGAGGGACTGCAGGTGCGGAAAGTGTTGGTGGCAGAGGATGTTTTAAAATCAGGGTTTTGTCCATTTCCTCTCATATTTTCTTGGCTTGGGCGATTATTGGAGAGCTTCAAGAGGGGATTTTCTTCATCAACATTCNAATTGGATTGTAATGAGTAATTGAACATATATTAATGGATTTGCATAATCATTGGCTAGTTTTGTAGCATTGTGCATCTATTCGACTCTACGGAAGGACGTGGAATGCCGATTATGGATCTTCGAAGCGAGGTGAGTCTCCTTTCTAACCTTGTAAGAGGGAATTGTCCCCATAGGTGAAATAATTGGTTATGTGCTCCTAGTTGTGGGGGCTAATATGCACGAGGTGACGAGAGTCCGTGCGTAGCTACTATCATGCTATTGTCCGGGTAGTCTAGGACCCAAAAGCATGTTGTACCTGGAAATATTTGTAATCCTATTGACAGTTTGAATTGCTTAAATCACATAGAATTAGTAAGTGAATTTATAAAAGGAATAAACTTCATTTTCTTAAATTGTTAAAAGAGAATTGACTTTTATTTGGATAAATGTTCCCCGATTAATTCTTAATTGGCTGTTTGAGCATGTATTTCTATGTTTACCTGCGTCGCATGTAAGATTCGCGAGTAGGGTATTTGTTAATTTATGTTGACCGAGTCGCAGGTATGATGCGCGAGCGGGGTAATAGATGCATCTATGGTTCACACCGTTCGACCCGCGGCAGTGCACAATTTACTTTCTGTTGGAGCGGGCCGTACGTCCTCGGCATGATTTGCGCATGCTTGTATTGCTTGCCTTGAGATTATTTGGGATTGATATGTGCTCTCTCCGACTTGAATAAATGGGAAACTATTGGATTATAAATCTTGAGATTTTTAATATAAAAAGGAACTATCACTTGTTCATGACTTACTTGAAATTACTGTCAATCTTAATAAATTCTTGATTATTCGCATTAATAATATGTCATTATTGGACCACTAGTAAGTATCGAAGTCGACCATCTCATTTCTACTTCTTCGAGATTAGACGGGATACTCATTGGGTACACGTTTCGTACTTATACTACACTTCTGTGCATTTTTGTTGCGCAGGCACATGCGTCTCTAGTGGACTACGGGGCGTGACAACATGATTGATACGGAGACTTAGGTGAGCTACACTTCTTGAGGTGACCCGCAGCCAGCAGAGCCTCTTTCAAATTTCTGTATTTATTTCAGTCCAATATTGTATTCCGGACGATTGTTGTATTACATTATTTCCTAGAAATTGCTCATGCACTTGTGACACCGGGTTCTGGGAGGATTTTTGGATTATTAAGTGTTAAGTTTTGTTAAAGACTTCATGGTTATTTCTATAAATTTTATTATTCGTTATTTAATGTATAAAGAAGAAATAATTTTAAATAATACCAAAAATTGAAATTTAATTAAGTAATTTGGTTGGCTTGCCTGACAGCGGTGTCCGACGCCATCACGACTCTTAGTGGATTTTGGGTCATGACATAACCTCACTTTCCTATTTCCCACTCTTAATTCTCAAGGTTACTCTTCCCACTCTCAGGGTCTATTATATTCAATGTTTCTAGAAAATGAAAAACCTTCCTGCATGTTGTTATATCTAGTAGGTGCCTTATTAAACAATCAATTCAATTGCTTTAAGTAAATGTAACAAAATACCATTACCTTGGCGGGATCCCGTCGTAGCAACTTGCATAGATTAGAATTCCCTATCAAATTAATGAATGTACATTATACTGATATATAAGAGAATAATAGATTCTGTAGGTATATGGTGATGACTACTGTCAAGAAAGGGAAGCCTGGTTTAAGGAAGAAAGTCATGTCTGCTGTCATTGTTAGACAACGTAAACCTTGGCGACGAAAGTATGGTGTCTTCATGTACTTGGAAAATAATGCAAGTGTTATTGTGAATCCCAAGGGAAAAATGAAAGGTTCTGCTATCATTGGTCCAATTGCGAAGGAGTGCGCTGATTTTATGGCCAAGGATTGTTGGTGCAACTAATGCAATTTTCTGAACAAAGATTCAACATGCTGATAATTTTGGAATTAGTATTAGTATTAATGTCACATATACAAATAAATGTAACGATGTTGTGATGCTTCAGGAGTTCCAGTAAGTTCAAACATCAATTATTTTGCTACTTAATACCAAACTTTGTTTAATTTTTGGTAATATTCATTAAGTCTTCCTATATAAAAATAAATAAGTAGATTCTGACAAATAAAGAACATGAAAGAGATTAGTAGTGTAACCGTACCGTAGCAATTGTCAAGGGTGCAAATAAAAATTGTATAGGTTGTTTGATCTTTCTCGCAACATGTCCCTGTATAATACTAAGAGCAATGTTGAATATTACTAAAATATAACTAAAGGAAGTAAAAAGGAATAAAAGGAGAGTATCAAGAAAATCAAAAAGAAAATTACGCCGATCTTCTATATCACAATTCCTCTGGTATTCGTGATTTTTATTGTCACAGTGGAAAATTTGCTGTCAATTTTGGATCTGATTTCGACGACGGCGAGATATAAATAGGACCACACAATCAGGTTATGTTTTTTAGCAATCCATAGAATGTGAATGGATGCTGTACTTATGTACAAAATGATATTTGAAAGCTTACCAATGTGTCGTTTATTGTAACGGGTGTGATGTTTCAATTAATGATCATTTACTGTGTCATTGTACATAACGTTTCGTAATGGACGTTTTGAGCGTTTTGCAAATGTTTGTTTAGTGCTGGAAAGGAAGTAAAGTTTTTTTTACGGGGAAAATGAGTGAAAAAGACCAAAAAAAAAGGAGAATCAAGANTATATATATATTTATAGATTTTAAAATATCAAAAACTTAAAGCCAATAGATTATTTGTTCTTAGCCATGATTTTTATTCTTCTCTTCATCTTCTTCCGAATAAAGAAAAAAATTATCAATTTGCAAATATAAAGCAAAAACCTATCATCATCCTTCATCACTTGATTTAGTTCGACGCTTCTCATTGTAGATTCCTTTTTCATTTATCTTTCATTTCAAGTTCTTTTGCTCTTACAAATTAGTTTGTAAATTGCTACTTTTTTTTAAAGTCAGATTTGTTTTTATTAGATAAAGCATTTCTAATTTGTTTTAGTTATCGGAAATAGCCTCCCTGCCTTTCTAGGGGTAGGGGTAAGGCTGCGTACATCTTACTACCCCAGACACCAATTGTGGGAAACTACTGAGTTTGTTATTGTTGTACTTCTAATTAGTTTTAGTTATAATGACCCGACCGGTCGTTTTGAGCTCTAGCGTGTTGTTTGGCAGTTTGAGGCCATGAGTAGCTTCATTTCAGGCATTATGACTTGCACACATGGTCGGAATTGAATTTCGCGAAGTTCGGAGTTGATTTGAAAAGAAAATTCTCATTTCGGAAGCTTTAAGTTGAAAGATATTTACCTTGAAAATGCTAATGACAATTAGATTTGATTTTATGGTTCTGTAAATACGTGATCTATTTCTATGCTAGTTGTTAGACAATAGATGCTAAGTGAAAGATTAGATGATAATATAAGAGCTTGTAAATAGTGTAATAATCAAACCGAATGGCTGGAAATCGGAGCCTCGAGCTTACATATACGGGGCCTCGAGGTCGAGTCGGATGCCCGACTAAGGGCAGTCGATGGAGGACTAACAGTTATGATAAATTTGATGGCGGCTCTTTATGACCAATAATGAGCAATAAATGGAGAACAATTAATGAAATTTAATAAATACAAGTAAGACAACAAATGTAAGCAATAAGGTCAAATAGAGAGTATGTTTGAGTTAGAGACCAGAGAATGTTCTTGTATTGAATGTAGTGTGTTGTATCTTGTGTATTGTAACTTGTCTACAAAATGACCAGGATCCCATATATATATCAATCAGAACCCTAACATAGTACAAAATGCATTTATTACAAAGACACGTGGAGGATGCAGTCATTTAATGCCATGATACAGGCACATACTAGCATTTCCGCCTCAATCAAGTACCTAGGGAACTTCCCGTTTCTCCATCATAGCTGTCGATTCACATTGTCCTAGAGTCGGGCATTTGGAAACCCTACGAGGTTGTACCTCGAGCTCTACCTCGAGCCCTAGGAAGCGTACCTACGAAGCACCTTGATGACCACAAAATCGGCCCCTCCGGTTTTACCGCATACAAAATAATTGACTAAGGTTTGATTTTTGAGTAAACGACCTCTAAATCGGGATTTGAAGGTTCCAACAGGTTCGTATGATGATTTTGGACTTGGGCGTATGTCTAGATCGGGCTTTGGATGACCCGTGAGCGTTTCAGCGCCTATTGTGGAAGTTGGCATTTTGGAAGAATTTCATAAATTTGGGTTGCAGTGCATTTCAATGTTATCGATGTCCATTTGGGATTTCGAGTCTGGGAATAGCTCCATACAGTGATTCTGGTATTGGGAGCACGTCCGGAAGTGGATTCGGAGGTCCATAGGTCATTTTGGGGTCATTAGGCGAAAGTTAGAAATTTGAAGATTTTTGAGAAGTTTGACCGGAAGTGGACTTTTTGATATCGAGGTCGGATTCCAATTCCGGAAGTTGGAGTAGGTCCGTAATGTTGAATGTGACTTGTGTGCAAAATTTGAGGCCAATCAGACGTGATTTGATAAGTTTCGATATCGAATGTAGAAGTTTGAAGTTCTAAAGTTCATTAAGCTTGAATTGGGGTGCAATTCATGATTTCAATGTTGTTTAATGTGATTTGAGGCCTCGAGTAGGTCCGAGTTATGTTATGGGACTGGTTTGTGTGATTGGACGAGGCCTCGGGTGTGTTTCGGATTATTTCGTGCTGTTTTACAATAGCTTATGTTGGTGTCTAGTGTTGTTCTTCGTGTTCACGAGGATCCTCTAGTGTTCGCGAAAAAGGATTTGGCTTCAGGGACTTTGTTCTTCGCGTTCGCGAAGAAGAAAATTTCTATTGCACAAGTCTGACTTCGGAGGCCCATATCTCGCAATCTATAAAGAATTTGGAGATGATAAAAAAATAAAAGTTGTAGACCTTTGTGTCTATCTTTCAGAATAGTAAACCATTTGGAATTTGGATTTGTGTAGAAAAATTTATGGTTGGTACACTACAAGCTATACCGGAAAATGAAGAAGAAATTTGTGTTGCATATGACTAACTTTGGAGGCTTATATCTCGAAATATATAAGGAATTGGGAGATGACCAAAACAAGAAAGTTGTTGTAATGACCCGACCTGTTGTTTTAAGAATTTACGCCGCTATCCCATATTAACTGCATTCCCGTGTTTGTTTCTGCTATTGTGAGTTGCCTTGAGGAATTATTTGGAGTTTCAGAGAGTTTTGGGACACTTGGTCCCTAAATGACAGCTTAAGTTCTTGAAATTTGACCATAGTTGGAACAGTATGAAGACGACCTCGGAACGGAAGTTTGATGGTTCCGTTAGCTCCATTGGGTACTTTCGGGTTTAGGAGCCTATTCAGATTGTGTTTTGAAGGTCCGTAGCTAATTTAGGCTTGAAATGCCGAAAGTTGAATTTTTTAAGTTTCCGGTTCGATAGTGAGATTTTGATACGAGGGCCGGAATGAAATTCTGGAAGTTAGAGTAGCTTCGTAGTGTTGAATGTGACTTATGTGCAAAATTTCAGGTCATTCGAACGAGGTTTGATAGACTTTTTGATCGAAAGCGTAATTTGAGAGTTTTTGGACTTCTTAGGCTTGAATCCAATGTAAAATTTATGTTTTGATGTTGTTTTGAGCATTCTGAAGATTGGGACAAGTTTGAATGATGTTTTAGAATTGTTTGACATGTTTGGTTGAGGTCCCAGGGGCCTCGGGTGTGTTTCAGATCATTTCGGGCTGTTTTGCAATAGCTGAAGCTGGTATCTGGTGTTGTTCTTCGCGTCCGCGAGGGTCCTCTCGCGTTCGTGATGAAAGATTTGGCTTCTGGGATTTTGTTCTTCGCATTCGCGGCCGTCCTCTCGCGTTCGCGAAGAAGGATTTGGCTTCTGGGATTTTGTTCTTCGCATTCGCGGCCGTCCTCTCGCGTTCGCGAAGAAGGATTTGGCTTCTGGGATTTTGTTCTTCGCGTTCGCGAAGAGATCCTCGCGTTCGCGAAGAAGAAGAAATTCTGTTGCGCAGTTCTTACCTTGGAGGCTCATATATCTCAATCTACAATGAATTGTAAGATGATTCAAAAAAGAAACTTGTAGCTCTTTGAATCTAGTTTCCAGAAATATATTTTAATAGTCATTTGGACATCTACAACAATAGTTATGGCCATCATACTAGAGGCTATCCGAGAAGAGTTTGGAAAATGATATTTGGGAATTTTGTTCTTCGCGAACGCGAGAGGAGGACTGCAAACGCGAAGAACAAATCCCTGGGCAGCAGAATAAAGTTCAAACTCGTCTCACTCTTCCATTTTTGGACCAAAGGAGCTCGGGTGAGGCGATTTCGAGAGATTTTCAAGGAAAACATCGGGGTAAGTGTTCTTAACTCAATTTTTGTTAGATTACTCGAATCCATCGTTGTTTTTAACATTTAATTGGTGATTTTAGTTGGTAAAATCTTGAAAACCCTTTTGGTTTAATTTGAATATTTGAGGGTCGAGTTGATGTCGGATTTTGGTAAAATTGGTATGGTTAGACTCGTGGTTGAATGAGTTGTCGGATTTTGTGAGTTTTGTCGAATTTTGATACATGGGCCCCACAGGCGATTTTGAGTTAAATTTCGGATTTTTGTTGGAAAATTAATATTTTCATATGGAATTAATTCGTACGATCTATATTGAGTATATTGAATTATTATGACTAGATACGAAGCTTCGGATGAATTCGCGAGGCAAAGGCTTGTTGGAATTTTGAATTGGTTGCTAAGAGAGGTAAGTGTTTGGTCTAACCTTAGCTTAATGGATTAGGAGTTTTTTCATAATTGTTATGTGTTATTTTTTGAGTACGACGTATAGGCATGGTGACGAGTATCTATACGTTGGTGTCA